TGTGCAACAGGTGAGACTGGGGGTATCTTTGGTAACAAAAGATCTATAAATAAATGAATCCAAAATAAATATTTGTGAGAACTACAGTTTATTTAACCTATTTATACACTGTAAAAAACCCAACTTGAAAAAAGTTTAAATGACTGGTTTTGTTGTGTTGGGTCAGCAAAAATCCATGAAAAAGTCAGTACAACTAAGTTTAATACATTTATTCAGCTTAAACCAAGATTTTTTCCATAAACTTAAAAAGATGAGTTCTGTGAATAGCGCTTTGCAAGTTCATCCAAAGAAACTTCTGCCAACTTATAAAATTGAGTTAAGTCAATCTCATTAGGGAACTGCCCACCCATATAGTAAAAAACAAATTCTAATTTTTTTAATAAAATGTAAACATTTGTTTACTTCAGGACAATCAAGAAAAATAGTTAGTGATTTTTAAAAGAACTAAAATGCTCCTTAATGTATTATTGTAAGATCATAATATTGTACAATAACAACAACAACAACTACAATAATAATAATAATTATTATTATGTACACTTTATTAGAATTACACAGTTAATAATAATAATAATAATGACTATTTACAGAGTCGGTAAGTGTATGATGCCTAACGTTTTAAAGTCTGTGCATTAATTTGCATTTTATTAACCTGATCATTCACATTTGTGTATTTCCTTATACAGATCCTGAGAGCACACTTAATTCATTGTAGGTGCTGAAACCATAGACTGTATAAAAACAGGCTGAAACACACCGGGGCCAGTCAAAATCTGCTGCTGTGCCTGAAACCCTGATAAAGTAAAAGGGTTTCAAAACTTTTAAGATAAATATGAGTTTGAGACATGAAGGAATTATCACTTTGGGGTGAACTATCCATTTAAGCAAGGCTGTAACCATTGTCTTGAACATTGGGGGGGATAGGCCTAGGTCAAATTTGCCTTGCTCAAGGGTATTGGAAGAGAGCGCTGGTTATTCACTCCCCCACCTACAATCCCTGCCAGTACCGAGACTCGAACCTCTGACCTTTGGGTTATAATTCCGACTCTCTAACCGTTAGGCCATAAATGTTTTGGCAGTTTAGACTTGTCCTCCTCAATGTCTATGGTGGTTACAGCTCTGACTTTAAGATAAATGTATTGTAATGATGGGTATACTTGCCTGTTTAATTGCCTTAAACAGGCAAATGTTTGAAAACACTTCGTTAAAAAATTGCTCTTTTGAATAAATGTTTTGTTAATATTGTGTCAGTGTTTTCAGTTTTTGACTTGGACACTGTTATTGCAGTTTTCAGTTGTAACATATTATTTCTTAGTACCAATTTCCAGTAGCATTTTTTTGTTCAGTCAACTTCAGGTATTTGAGTTCTACAGACAAAAAATGTTGAGTTGGCACAACTTAAAAAGGTTTGTTATAGAATCGTTGCACATCTCTAGAAAACTAACAATCTTGAGTTAACTCAACTAAACATTTTTTGTATGACTGACAGCTTCTTTTCAGTCAGTATAACTGTTTTTTTACAAAAGTTGAGTGAACAAGAAAAAGCTAGGGGAAATTAGTACTAAGATTTTTTTTGTTGTGCTGGCTTAAATTTTTTTTACAGTGTAGTGCAACTTGCAACATGGATGGACATGCACCATTTAAGGTTAAAACGAAGTAGTTCTGACTCAGAGCAGTCAATAACTGCAGGTCTTTTGTCTAAACTTGTTGATTCGGTGCTCCTTTCATCTCACCAGAAAGCCCAGGAGAAATGACTTAAATGAACTATTTCATGTCTTTTCACGAGACCTCACACATATTTTTTATAAATGTATTAATTATCAAACTGTTTTCAAGAAAGTAAACATTCTCAGAACTTCAGCAAACACCGGCAAAGTTTTCTCATGAACAAACATAACTTCCAGTAATGTTAACAGAATGTTTGTTCAGCGTTATCAAGTCTTTAATAAAATTCTCAAAATAGTAGCACAGAAACATAATTTATAATACAATATTTAAATATTTAAAAAACTGGATGTTTTGAACGTTCAGAGAACATTTATAAATAACATTTTCATAACTTAATGAGAATGTTGGCAAAACATTCATAAACATATTTTTGTGAGCTGGGGAATCTGTTCTTTCTGGCAGAAACATGTTAAAATCACACGCCTGATCTTGTGAGGGACTGCTAAGTTTTGGCTTTTTCAGCACTTTTATTATGAAGAAGCCTGCCGATAATACACATATGCGTACATTGCCAGACAAATGCTCTGTTAGAGGAAAAACAGCTGTCTCTTTAATTTATGGCCACAGAAGAAGGTCTGAATCTATAGAAAGCCTTATGAGGTCACTGAGATGTGGAACTGCTCTGATCTGGCCCTCGTTCCTGTCCAACGGGGCCCTGGAAATGTTCCCTTCAATAAATCTGCTGATGATGGGAAATGATTGCAGCCTGCTCCATGTCTGCTTGATTTGTGCTGCAAATGCATTCTGCCTCCGAGATATTTGTCCAAATCCACAACAACTGGAGAGGCTCAAGAGACAGAATGTATTTGAGTGCAGTATGTTCAGGAGTACTGTATAGTATAGTTTGAGTTCCTGACCTAATATTTCTCTTGTTCTTCATAAGCCATCATGCACATACCTGGTTAAATCAAAAATACTACTGCTACTATACGCAATGCTTAATATATACTATCCATTCTATCTCTTCCTCTTCTGAGAATGTAACAAGACTGACATTTTATCAGTAATTTAAAACAGAAGCCTATTTAGATTGCAAATAATTTTTTATGAAACTGGAGAGATTAGGGAGAGTTTGTTTCAATGTCTGTACGTCATATACATTTCCATATTTGTCTGTTACAAATTAAAGCAGTTTAGAAATATACACTTTGCCCCAAGGGTCAAAACAACCCAATAGCTGGGTTTGTCCCTTTTTAACCCAGACCTGGGTTATATTTAACCCAGCATTTTTTTAGTGTATTATTTGTAAATTACAGAGTCAAGCACAAAGAATGCTGTTTTTAATGCCCTATTACACCAATAAAAAAACATTTGAACATTTTAAATGTTGTGGATGAATTTATTGGGAATAATAGATTACTTTTTTCTAATTATTGTGGTGCCACTTCGTACTACTTTCATTTTCCAGGAGCCATTTGTTTTATTAGTAAGTGGACCTACTTGAGAATGAGGGAAATTATCTAAAAATCACAAACTATTTCATCCAAATTTTGAGTTGACATGTCATGCTTACAACGAAAAATATAAACAAAATAACTTATAAAAATCATAAGACTCACCAGTGCCCATGTGAAAGAGGATATTCAGCATGAAGGCTGATATTACCAAATTAAATTATATAAATAAATATAAACACATAATTTATATATTATTTGTATAAAACAATTTTATCTTCAGCGGAATACAAATCAGAAAATCATTTGCAAATAGCTGAAGGCACAGACCTTTCATCATTTACTCATAAGGAAACGTATTGTGTAAATCAGCTGGCAAGAAGTGCAATCACACCCAGTGCAGGTTAATGTAAATATGGAAGCAAATATTGACACAGATCACCCGGTCTGAACAGTGTCACTATGGCACAAACTGTGACAAAGAGCTTTCGGCTTCCATCTATCTGTTCTCTATGTCACAGTGAAGATGGATGTATAAGAACACCTCGCGTTACTGGCTCCTCCCCCCATCTAACAACACATGAGACCTGAGAGAAGGAGAGAAGGGAGGGAGCGAGGGAAGAGAGAGGGCGAGTAAATGTAAGAGATATGTTGTTTATACTGAGCCCAGCTCAAATTCAACGCCATCAGTGCACATGTAATGTGGGAAATTAAAGGACACTTCTTGGAATAAATTGCATGCCTCTATCCAACGGGCGCATGAAGAAAAGAAGCTCTGAATTCTGTGAACATGAACTTGGGTGAAAGCTGCAAAACTACAGCTTTACAAGTTCACATGGGGTGGTGAAATACCTCAACGCTCTTCATAAGCACAGCAGCTTTATGTCAACTAACCATCACAAAACACAACTGCAGCTCTGAAGAACTGAATGAGGCTCCTCACAAAACACATGGATTATTGCCGCTGATTCAAGAGAAGAGAGTAAGTTTTTCTTTTTAAAAAATAAAATGCATCTACACTGCAAAAATGTATTTTCTTTTTGAGTTTGTTCTGCCAATAAACATACATCCTTAAAACATTTATGCGAACAATTATTTGACAAGCAAAATTCTGACATGTTTTCAGATCAGATATCTGTAATTTATCTCGAATATCTTCACCCCATTGTCATTTTTCCCCATTCTAAGCATACATCTGACAAAATCGAGGTTTACAGTTCAATAAATAAATAATTAATAAAAACTTGTTGTAAGGATGTATGTATGAGATATGAAAAAAATGATCTAATATTAAAGTGTAATTTGAAAAGTGCCAAGAGACCATTTTCAAAGTTACTTAATGTTTTGTGGATGAATTTATTGGGAATAATAGATTACTTTTTTCTAATTATTGTGGTGCCACTTCGTACTACTTTCATTTTCCAGGAGCCATTTGTTTTATTAGTAAGTGGACCTACTTGAGAATGAGGGAAATTATCTAAAAATCACAAACTATTTCATCAAAATTTTGAGTTGACATGTCATGCTTACAACGAAAAATATAAACAAAATAACTTCATAATAATCATAAGACTCACCAGTGCCCATGTGAAAGAGGATATTCAGCATGAAGGCTGATATTACCAAATTAAATTATATAAATAAATATAAACACATAATTTATATATTATTTGTATAAAACAATTTTATCTTCAGCGGAATACAAATCAGAAAATCATTTGCAAATAGCTGAAGGCACAGACCTTTCATCATTTACTCATAAGGAAACGTATTGTGTAAATCAGCTGGCAAGAAGTGCAATCACACCCAGTGCAGGTTAATGTAAATATGGAAGCAAATATTGACACAGATCACCCGGTCTGAACAGTGTCACTATGGCACAAACTGTGACAAAGAGCTTTCGGCTTCCATCTATCTGTTCTCTATGTCACAGTGAAGATGGATGTATAAGAACACCTCGCGTTACTGGCTCCTCCCCCCATCTAACAACACATGAGACCTGAGAGAAGGAGAGAAGGGAGGGAGCGAGGGAAGAGAGAGGGCGAGTAAATGTAAGAGATATGTTGTTTATACTGAGCCCAGCTCAAATTCAACGCCATCAGTGCACATGTAATGTGGGAAATTAAAGGACACTTCTTGGAATAAATTGCATGCCTCTATCCAACGGGCGCATGAAGAAAAGAAGCTCTGAATTCTGTGAACATGAACTTGGGTGAAAGCTGCAAAACTACAGCTTTACAAGTTCACATGGGGTGGTGAAATACCTCAACGCTCTTCATAAGCACAGCAGCTTTATGTCAACTAACCATCACAAAACACAACTGCAGCTCTGAAGAACTGAATGAGGCTCCTCACAAAACACATGGATTATTGCCGCTGATTCAAGAGAAGAGAGTAAGTTTTTCTTTTTAAAAAATAAAATGCATCTACACTGCAAAAATGTATTTTCTTTTTGAGTTTGTTCTGCCAATAAACATACATCCTTAAAACATTTATGCGAACAATTATTTGACAAGCAAAATTCTGACATGTTTTCAGATCAGATATCTGTAATTTATCTCGAATATCTTCACCCCATTGTCATTTTTCCCCATTCTAAGCATACATCTGACAAAATCGAGGTTTACAGTTCAATAAATAAATAATTAATAAAAACTTGTTGTAAGGATGTATGTATGAGATATGAAAAAAATGATCTAATATTAAAGTGTAATTTGAAAAGTGCCAAGAGACCATTTTCAAAGTTACTTAATGTTAGAATAAGTAAGAAATTCAGCGTTAGTAATGCAAGCTCTGTGCAAACCCATTAGAATGGGATACATGCCACACTGACAGGTCTATAGTTTTCCTGTGCTGGGCAGTTATTTGATTTTTTTTTCTCCAGAACTCAAGGGGAACTAGAAAAGTCACATTTAATTCTATTGAACTGTTAATAACTTGTGTTATAATAAAGAAAAAAAATTATTCTATTTGATTCATGCCTTTTAGTGTAACAGAATAAAGGAGAAGCTACTATTAAAGTGTACTGACAGAGCTGAGCTGAGCATGAAAGTTTAACTGAATAATTGTCATCCGTTTTGTCAAAAATATGGGTTGTTGCCATTAAATACCTGTGGGAATTTGACGTACACTCTTAAAAATAAAGGTGCTTAAAAGGTTCTTCACAGCGATGCCATAGAAGAACCATTTTTGGTTCCACAAAGAACCATTCAGTCAAAGGTTCTTTAAAAAAACATCTCTTCTTACCTTTTTATAATTTGAAGAACCTTCTTTCGCCACAAAGAACTTTTTGTGAAACAGATTCTTCAGATGTTAAAGGTTCTTTATGGAACCATTTAGACAATCGTGAAGCACCTTTATTTTTAAGAGTGTATTGCAATATGTTATACTAATATATATATATATATATATATATATATATATTTCATTACTTTTTTTTACGTATTTTAAAATGTATATTTTATCAAATTAAAATTTATATTTTAAAATATCATTATTTGAGATGCTACATGGAATGTATGTTTGTTTACACCTACATTGCGCAAACAATGATAGTAAAACCTGACATTTTTTATGTTGTGTGAACAAAATTGGAAGACCGTTAATAATTAAATGTAGAGTTAGGGATAGGGTATAGAATATAAATTTTGAACAGTATAAAAACCAATTACTACGGAGAGTCCTCATATCATAACACAACATGTTTAAGTAATTCAAAAAAATTTTTAAAAGTGGTGAAAAGACTTTCCCTTACACAATCATATAAACCTACAATCTTGATCTTGAAAATCATGTCAACAACCAAATGTGGAAACAAAGCACTATAATTTGTTCACATTTAGTGCAAGATTGATGAGTTTTGCTCATGCAGACTTGTTATGTGGTCACTGTGTGAGTATAATGCCTCTTTATCCGCTAACTAATCTCTCAGAACATGGAGAATGTTAAATTGCATAAACATTGCATTGTTATTTCTAGTATAGTTTTGACTTCTGCAAAAAGTTAGAGTCTCTCAGGCCATGAGGATGGATTCCATTTGATGCCGTCAGTAAAGGCCTAAAGGGAACCCAAGGCTGGCCGGTAGGACAGCAGCATTTAACATTGTATGTGTAGATAATGGCAATATCATGATCTAAAATTCAGCCTTTCCTCACCTTTATGGTACATTTGTGTAGCTCTTGTAAGTGAAGGTGAGATTTGGTATTAAAGAATGAAAGATGAAACAATAAAGTGCAATAAAGAAGACAAAGGTCATGTACTATTTTTATTTTATCATGGCATATTAATCTAGTTCTTATGGTTTCTGTCAACTTTCTGAAAACTTTCATCCTGCAGGAGGTTCCTCAAGATGGTTTTAAGTCCATGAATTTGAAAGTAAATATTCTTATCAGGTGTGAGAAGCTGTTGAAATCCAAAAGGGAGGTTTTGGACACATGCTGGCGCAATATTTTAGTGTGCGATTGATTGAATTAATAAGGTGCTGAATAATATTATATGATACAGCGCAGGAATCCATGACCTGGAAAATTAATTTGTAATTGCATAAGCCATTGGAAGATAAAACTAATGAAAAGTATTTTGGAAAGAAATTTAATTTTTAATGATGCACTCAACTGTTATGCAACCCGACCAGTTCTAGATGCTCACCATCTTGAGCAATTATTATGACCTACATATGGCATATCTGAAATTCTGTCCATTCACTGGAAATCCATTTCTGTTCCTCTTTAATTACTTTGCATTTGAATTTATTTATTGTCAAACGTCTTTACTTTGTCAGTATAGAAGGTAAAAACAAGAGATAAAAATAAAAGAGAAATTAATGGTTAGCTGATTTTATTAATCATACAAAGCTTAGAAACACTTACATGTGTGTAAATTATGTTTTTTTTTTTTTTTAAGTGTCTTGATATGTTACTGGAAATATTTTAATTACAGACTCTGTATCATAATTCCTCCAAAATCTTTTTTCTCTCAATTTTTTAATAAATATGGTAACATTTTATATCACATTAAAAGGATGCAAAACACATTGTTATAAATGATCTACTATTACAATGATCATAATTCTGTTTATAGTACAAAATAATTTTTAATAACAAAAAAAAAAACATTTGCATTTTTATTGCAAACCTCATATTAACTCCACGCAAAATAAAACTGCTTAAATAATAGTTAGTTTGACCTCCACACTTTCTTTCAATGACCGTTTTCAAAAAACCTTTCCAATTGCATAAACCAGACTCTGATGTATTTAATAAAACACAATTTGCTGCACAATTATTGTGTGATTGTGTGATTTTCATGGCCAAGTGTCTTGATATATTACTGGAAATATTTTAATTACAGACTCTGTATCATAATTCCTCCAAAATCTTTTTTTTCTCAATTTTTTAATAAATATGGTAACATTTTATATCACATTAAAAGGATGCAAAACACATTGCTATAAATGATCTACTATTACAATGATCATAATTCTGTTTATAGTACAAAATAATTTTTAATAACAAAAAAAAAAACATTTGCATTTTTATTGCAAACCTCATATTAACTCCACGCAAAATAAAACTGCTTAAATAATAGTTAGTTTGACCTCCACACTTTCTTTCAATGACCGTTTTCAAAAAACCTTTCCAATTGCATAAACCAGACTCTGATGTATTTAATAAAACACAATTTGCTGCACAATTATTGTGTGATTGTGTGATTTTCATGGCCAAGCAACCTGAGGTGATCTGTCCTTTGCAGTCTATCCATGTTTAAAACACTTTCAAATATTATGCATAAAAAGCAGCTTGCAAAAGCAAACGGCTTTTTCTGTATCATCAGCTATATTTAGTCTAGGTCAACATTTCTGCTGCACCATATTAGTGGATTCCTCAGAGGGAAAGGGATTCAAGGAAAGTAGAAAATGACAAAGCAAGGGTAAACTGAACAGCTCATGCATCGGCTGCTTCAGAGAATGACCTCAAACACTGCTGTGACAGGGACACTTGCTTTTATTTATGACTGGACCTGGAAAGCCATAGCGAAAGACGTTTAAAAAAACAAACTCATTCTGTAAAAAGCAATAGTTTCACAATCATACTATTTATATTTGCTGAAAAAGAATTAAGTGTCTCAGGTATTATTTATGAGGTGGTGTAAATGAATTTTCTAAATTAGATATTCTTATTTTAGTCTGACCAGTATTCAGGGTTAAAGTAAAATGTTTATATATATGTATGAAATTAATTTTCTGTCAAAAAATGTTCAACTTGTGTGTGGGAAGATGGATGAAAGGGAAAGGTAGAGTCAAAGACATAAAAAAAGAAACTGTAGGCAGAAAGGCAGGCAGAAGCTGTATAATAGGCACCTCCGTTTTTAGATTGGACTATGATATATGATTCATTTCATCAGAGTATAATGAAATGAATTAACAAGAATTAGATAGGAAGTATCCAGGTTCAACCAGTCATTGGATAAGGGAGATGACATCAGTTTCACAAAACAACATAACACCTGTAATAAGTCCATTTCCATTTAACACAGCCTTTCTTATCGTCATATATGGATAATCTTTGCATTGGTATGTAAGGCCTTTCCTAGTTATTTCTCTTTTGTGTGTTCTCGTCTCATGCCCTGTACCTGTTACGGGGTTGACAAGACGTGAGACTTGCGGATCCATCTGCAAGCTTTTATTTAAGAGACGTGGTCAGAAACAGGCAAGGGTCAGACAATGGCAACAGGTATATAGAGGGCAAGACACAAGAATAAACCTAGGGCTAGTGTGAGTCTACGATCGTTGAGTGTTAAATAGTGAGTGAGTGATATGAAACAGCTGTGTGCAATCAGTGCTGTGTGCAATCAGTGCAATGAATGATGGGATATGTAGTCCGGGGTGATATGCAACAGTGTGTCGTGCGAGAGTCAATGAAAATGGAAAGGGTGACCTCTGATGGCTAGCAGACGGAAGTTCATGGACCGGATACGTAACAGTACCCCACCTCCTGTTTATTTAACCCAACATCCCATGCTACCATTTTTTCTCAAACTGTCTGTCTAATTTTTGCAACCTATATTTTCATTTGTACTATTTATTTGCATAGTTAAGAAAATAAACCAGATTTTATTGGGATCAAGGAGCAGTTGATAACAGACAGAGAGAGGAAGCTGTAGAAATGGGGTAAAGGAATGGGCCATGGAAAAATACATGGAGGAGGACTGAGATGAGATATGGATGAGATGAGAGAGATACTAATGGAAACAAATGTGATGGACTAAGCTGAGTAGGATAGTTGGAGTCAAATCAAGTCAGGGAAAATTGAGAAAAGAAA